CCTAAACCCTAATCCCTAAAACCCGGAATGAACCCTAATAGCTCCCATTTTTTTTCGGAAAAAAACTTCCCTGAAGTCTCAGATTGCCTCAGAGGTTCCGGGCCCTTCAACCGTGTGTTTAGGGTTTAGGGTTTTAGGCTTTAGGGTTTAGGGTTTTGGGCTTTAGGGTCCCTAAACCCCTAAAATCTAGGGTTTTGGGGGAAGTCCAGGATACGGCACGTTGGAGAGTTCCAGTCAGTCCGTGTTTTTCTTCCTGACGGGCTCTTTCGACACCGCTGACCTCTATGGAGCTTTTCCCATCTTCTTCCTCTTGGTCACGATCTTCTTTCAGATATCCTTCTTGCTCATCTTGAACCTACTCATTGCGGCGATCATCTTCCGGTGGAAGGATAGCCGACGTGACGCCGAAGATTTCTCCGTCCTCAGCTTTTGGACGACTTTGCGCGACAATGTTAATGTTTTCAAGGGGAACAAGGCGGGCGGCAGAAGCCACGACGAGAGGCATCTGAAGAAGCTCGATCCCTCTTTCTGGAGAAATCTCGCGGTTCTCAGGCACATCGACAAGCTGGACGAAAGCGGCAAGATAAACTTCAATGCCGATCACCGATCGGAGAGCCCTAAGGCAAAGAGAGAGGAGGAAGAGAATCGGGAAAGAGATGATGAGGAGGCAGGTCAACCAAGGAAGCTTTCAGATTCTGAATCCCTCAACCCTAAATAAGCTCTGGAAACTCGCCCCCAGGGCCCGACCCAACCCCAAGACACGAGGCCTCTTACGACGAGGAGGCTGGCATACTGGACTTTAGCAACCCACAAGACCAGCACAGGCTTCATGGCTCTGCTGATTTTGATGTGTATATATATATATATTTGAGGTAGGTTTCGGGCAGATGGTTCGCCTAACATCCGGCGAAGGTTAAGAAGCAAGATTAGCAGCAGCTCGGAGGGGACACCGCAGGGCTTACAGCTTTTTTTGGCGCATGAAGCTTCAGAAGTGCATCTGCGGACATCGAGCCCTAAACCCTAAACCCTAAATCCTACGAGGTTCATCACCGTCTTCAAGAAAGCACACATGGAGACCCGGCTCGAACTACCTCCTGGGATCTTCTCACTGGGTTGTCTTCTAGAAGAGCAGGGTTTAGGGTTTATAGGATTTTGGGCCCGGTTTGGGGTTTAGAGTTTAGGACTTTAGGGGTTAGGGGTTTAGGAGTTTAGGCGTTTAAGGTTTGGGGTTTGGGGTTGAGGAATTTAGGGTTTAGGGTTTATAAGGTGTGAAGCCTGAAGCCCACCTCTCTGAGGAGATAGCCTCACAGATGACGAAGGATGTAGTGACGCCCGACGAAGAGGCCGAAAAGCACCAAGCAGCCGGAGTGGGGAGCTTGGAAGACAAGCCAGAATCCTGGACTTCTGAGGATTCGTTTTAGGGTTCCTTCAGGGTTTGGGCCTTTTACGGGTCAGGGCTTAGGGTTTAGAATTTTTAGGGTTTAGGTGTTGTATGGAAGACAGGCCAGACACCTGGGCTTCTGAGGGTTCCTTCAGGGAAGATGCGAGGATATAAGGATGCTTTAAGGGTTCCGTATAAAGGTATACCAAAGGTGTTGTTGGGATTTAGGTTTCAGAGTTTAGAGATTCAGATGCTTCGGGCTGCAGGCTTGACGACGAGCAAAACTCCGTCTGCGAAAGCCAGCTAGTCGAACTGACCACGGGTTTATAGAGCAGTCTCTGTAGATCTGGTAGTCTTTCCAACAGTAGCTGGTCTCCACAGATAGCTATATACAGCGGTTTGTGCGTCTCGCTTTTTGCTTCGAGTCAAGTTCAATAATCCCAAAGGGTGCTAGGCATTGTTACGGAGGATATTCTCTCAACTCATAATGGTAGTTCCTACCATAGAAATCCCATAATATGCTTTATAGGTACTTAGGACTTAGGACCCTTTGGGAATACCACCCTGCAGACTTGACGGTCGTAGAAGAAGTTTGGCAGACACGGTCTGTGGGAAGCTCTCTAGATTTGCGCTCCTTGTTTGGGATCGTCATAAGAGTATGCCACTCATAAAACTAGGATCAGCGAAATCCTTTGCAAGTTTGCAGAAGTGCTCCTGTAAGCCAAGGAACTGGTGGATCTGCAAGCACATGTCGAGAAACGCTGGGAGCAGGACCCGGGTTAAGGGAATGTTTCCCTCCATGATAGAAGGACTTCATTGGGGGGCTTAGGTTTGCAAGGTGGTCGATATGGTGAGGAAGTTCCCTGCGCTGTATCTTGCCGTTGCGGGTGCAGGTCTTGTGCTGGTCAAGGGTGATCGTGTTTCTTTGTAATTAGGGCTTGGAGGAGTTTGGCAGGAACAGCTGAGCAGTGATTGCCCGCCCTAAGCCCTCAAACGCTCCTCATTGGGGTGTACATGTTCACCCTTTCTGACGTGCAAGCTCAATATTGAGCAAGCTTCAGGCGGCTGGAAAGAGGCTACTGCACTTCAAAAAAACCCTAAACCCCTATACCCTAAACCCTAAAACCCTAAACCCCTAAACCCCTAAACCCCCTAAACCCTAAAACCCTAAACCCCTGCACCCTAAACCCTAAAGGCCTAAAGGCCCTAAACCCTAAAACCCTAAACCCCTATACCCTAAACCCTAAAACCCTAAAGGCCCTAAGCCCTAAACCTTTCAGCTCCAGACCAGGAGATGGAATCAGAAGCGCTGGGAATCGTCGAAGATCCCCAGGCGCAAAGCACGGTGCAGACGATTCAAGACAATTTGAATCATGGCAGTTCCCTATAGCAGCCTTTTGGTTTAGGGTTTTAGGGTTTCAGGGGTTTTAGGGCTTTAGGGGTCTAGGGGGTTAGGGGTTTAGGGGTTTAGGGGGTTAGGGTTTTGGTGATGCAAAGGAGTTTTTCAAAGTATGGACACCTCTAGCGTACCTGCAGAAGCCGACGTGAATCCGGCTTCTAAAGCCTTATCAACATGAAAGCTAGCTCAATCAGGAGAGAGGCCCTAAGCCCGAAAAAGCCCTAAACAAAAAAGAGATTTCCTGAGGGTCACAAATCCACGGTTTATCTAGGGGAAAAGGTTTAGGCGCTACGGATTAGGGGCAAAAAGTGTGAAAGGGTTTAGGGTTAGGTCTTCAGGGTGTTATGGGGCGTGAATATCAACTTTGTGTTGCTGTGATACCACGACCTCACTACTGAAAACCAGGATCCTATGTTGGTCATATCATCATGTACGTCAAGTCTCCGGTCTTGAAGCGAACAGTTGCCTGGAGTCCTTCCTATACACTGGCCCAAGCCCCAACCATCGCCACAATCGCCAGGGCGGAGATGTAAAGTTCAGGGCTTAACAGTACATTCCATAGTAGTCGGATTATGTAACACAATCTTGAAGTATTGCTTTTCTTTATTTAATACTCCTATAAAGGACCCCCACACCCGAGTCTAATTATTAAGGCTCTTGCATCAGCTCCCAAGCGAAGTTTCGACGATCAGGTTTTATGGCAGATTAGATTGTCTTAGCGATAGTTTCAACAGGGTAGGAGTACTTGTAGCCGGGTGCCTTTCCAGGGTCCGTTTGTACCGCAGTAGTGGCATGTTGTCCTCCGGAGAATCCACAATTTTTCAGACGCTGGCAGCCCGTATTCAACATGAGGATAGTTCTCTAAACTAGAATCCCTTTTGGGGGTCCTTTTTATAAGAGTGCCGCACTATTTGTTGTTGCAAGGATCCTAAGTTTTGCAGCCTCGAGCAGCCCTACGCCCGCAGCACACATCCCAGGAGCTATACATTCAACCTTCGAAAGTTTAGGGCTTATAGGGCTTAGGGTTTGCATGGGGCTTAGGGTCTATAGGGTTTGGGGTTTAGGGTTTATAGGAAGAGTGGGGGCTTAACGCTTTAACTTTTGACCATGAAGCCCGCTTCCTTCAACACAAGCCTACCCTAACCCTCCAGGTACCTACTATATAGGGCCCTAGGGGCTCTAGTACCCTATATAGGTTAGGGCTACAGAAGGTCTAAGCCAAAGGCCTCGAAGCAATGAACCTCAAAACCCCGAGCGCGGGAGCAACCAGCGTAGCACCACAGAACGACACGAAACCCTAGATGTGCAGTTCTCTAAAGTAGGGTCCCCTTCTTTAGGTCCCCAAATATAGTGCGGCACCCTTATAAAAAGGACTCTAAAAGGGACCCTAATTTAGAAAACTACCCACATACTTCTTAAACCCTCAACCCTCAACCCTAAAAACCCTATAAACCCTATAAGCCCTGAACCCTAAACCCAAAATCCTAAACCCTAAACCCTACCCAAAATCCTGAACCCCTGAAGACCCTAGGAATCGCGAGCTGGAGAAATCGAGCCATCCTGCGGAGGCACCCCTCCCGGAAGGGCTTCAGAGGGTTTTGGGGGTTTTGGGTCTAGTTTAGGGCTTAGGGATGAGGGGTTTAGGGGTTTAGGGTTTAGGGATGAGGGGTTTAGGGTTCAGGGTTTTGGGGTTTAGGGTTTAGCGATGAGGGGTTTAGGGTTTAGGGGTTTAGGTCTTGCGGTCGAGGGTTAAGGGTTTAGGGTTTAGGGGTTTAGGTCTTGCGGTCGAGGTTTTAGGGGTTTAGGGGTTGGGGTTTCGGGCTTCTAGGGCTTTGCCTTTAGGGTTTAGAGCCTGATGGTCTTCTTGGCTGTAGGATGAGAGGTTTGCAGGTTTAAGGGTTTTCATAAAGACAGAGCTTAGGGTTTAGGGTTTAGGGTTTAGGGTCATAAAGACAGAGCTTAGGGTTTGCTTTACTGTTTTCCGGCTTAGGGCCTTGTAGAGTCAGCGTTTACGTGTCCTTGGCGGCAGTGAAGGAGTTCGTCAAGAGGTTTCATGTAAGTACCTTGCTTGCAAACCTTACCGGGGGCCCTAAACCCCTAAACCCTAAATCCTAAACTTGCTTCTGTCTGTAGCTTCGTGGAGTGAGTGGTTTCGCGTTTGAAGCTGAGGTCGTTCAGAGTTTCGGGTGGTTCCCTCGGCGTCTTTCAAAAATACTGTATTCCTGAGAGACTTAGATTGTGGCAATTCGGGCATGGCTTTCGTGCTTAGATGCCACAGGAACGTCCCAAATAAGTCCTGTTTGTTAACCCCCTTGAGCCCTAAGCACCCCGATCGCGACCCATGCGACTAAAAAAAGGGGGCATGTCATCCTACAGCTGAAAGCAGCGAACACGAGGTTCTACTCATGCACGAATTGAGCGAACTATTCGAAACTCCAGGACCAGACTGTAGCCCCTATGTGAATCCTCAAAAGCATCTTACCTGCGACGCGACCAATACCCTACCACCCCTAACTCCATAAAGCCTCAGCGCTGTAACCCCAAGAGCCCTACACCCTGAAAGCCCAAGCAGAGCACTAAACGCCTAAACTCGAAACCGTCGGAACCCCTGAGGAGATTTGGCTGGATGCTTTGCTGACAGTCTTGGAAGATGCAAACGCAGCTTGCGCAGCGAAGAAGACTGTAGGGTTTGGGGATTTGGGGGGTTAGGATTTTTGGGTTGATGTCAGAACAGCTGTAGTTACTTGTTAGTCCGTTGATGATGTTTGGACCCTCAGCAAAAATATGTTTGGCCAGCATAACCAGAGAAGCCGCAACAGCAGAGGTGCTCTCTGTATTTAGAACGTAGGCGTAGCCAAAGCATCAGAGAAACGCCTCCATCGTCGTCATATTCCTCACCATCGCGAGCACCATAATCGCAATTTTAAGAGGGGGTGGTGGCAGCGTACTGCAGTAGTGCTGGGGGTGGCGGTGAAGTGTCGGTGGCTGTGGCCGCGGTGGTAGCGGTTGTGATTGTTTTCCGCGGCCGTCTCACATTATAGCCCAACCTCAGTCTGCATGTTCTTAATCCGGGCATTACTCTTCCAACGCCTTCATCCTTCCCACTACAACTGCGGTGATCTCTAAACCCTAAGCAAACTCCTTTAAGCCCCTAAACGAATCAGCCCGAACCCAAACCGCGACGCAAAACTAAACAGCCCGCAAGGCTTTACCCTTTGTGCTTCTGCACCTCTGAACCCCGAACTCGAAACCCCAGATGCTACAGCATGAAAGGCGTACATTCCTTCTACACCCTAAACCCCAGAAGCCAAGGCCAACACCACAAACTTTCGGGTTTAGGGCTTTAGAGTGTAGCATCCTAAGCCATGCACCCTAAACCCTAAGCCCCAAACCCTAAACCTAAACCCGCCTAAACCCCCGAACCCCCTAAACCGTAAACCCCCTAAACCCTAAAACCCCCAAACCCCTAAACCCTCGAATCCCGCGCTTCCGTTCCCCAGCCACCGCCGGCTGAGAGGCGCTGGAGAAGCTCCAGAAGCTCTTCCTTCCCCGGCCGATGATTGAGCCGAAGAAGGCTTTTGGGGATTTAGGGTTTAGGGTCTAGGGGCTTTAGGGTTTAGGGGCTTTGGGGGGCTTTTGGTGGTTTAGGGGTTAGGGGCCTAAGAAGGCTTTTGGGGGTTTCGGGCTTAGGGGCCTAAGAAGGCTTTTGGGGGTTTAGGGTTTCGGGGCTTTTGGGGTTTAGGGTCTAGGGCTTTTGGGGTTTAGGGTTTAAGGCTTTTGGGGCTTAGGGTTTTAGGGTTCAGGGTTTAGAGATTAGGGTTTAGGGGCAAGGCTTTGCAAGTGCCTGATAGGGTCTGATAGGTCCTTGTAGGATCCTTCACAACTTTCAGGGCCTTTCTGGATTTCCGTCAGAAAGCCTACCAGTTTGGACCCTTTCTTGGTTCCTTCCTCGGTGAGCACCCAAAGGGTCCTAGGTACTGTTATGGGGAATACTTTCCCAAATCATACTATGAATCCCTAATATAGAAACCCCACATTCTACCATATAGGTACTTAAGACCCTTTGGGGCAAGATGTGCGGTTTGCGTACAAGGAAGCAACGCAAGGAGAGGAAAGCATTGTGTTGGAGGCAATCGTGTAAGGTTTAGGTTTTGATTATACATGTTGTAATACGCCTCCTGATATACAGTATACTATTTCGTAGGGCCACTTATTATCACTACAACTATCACCCACCTCCTGCTCCAGACAGTCTGAACTAGATCACTAGTACCATCGTCATGATCTTCCTCTCCTACGCCACCACCATGCTGTCCACTCCCCAACGTCCCCTAACCCCCCCAGGTACCTACTATATAGGGTACTAGAGCCCCTATAGGGCCCTATATAGTAGGTGCCTGGAGGGTTAGGGATCGTTTCAATTTCAACATGGCAAGCCTCGCAAGCCGGCTAGTTGAAGGCCTCCGCCTTTGCCAGAATCGTTGCAACTATGGCCTGTGCCGTCATCTCCATCATGTGGTTCGTCATCCTCCGCAATACCATCATCATTGGTAGATTCAGCGCTGGCATCATCCTCGCCGTCCTTTTCCGCATCGCCCAAAATCATGGTGGTTACCATCAACGTAGACTCGTCGTATTTAAACAGGTCTCTTTCCTCGTGCAGCTACTGACTTAATCTTGTTTCAAGAAAATCTGCCGCACATCGAAAGGCCCACGAGTGGAGCGCCTTCATCCGGATGCTTTCCTATTCACATGGTCTTTAAATAGGGTTAAGTAGGGTTTAGGGTTTCGGGGTTTTGGCTATAGGCTTTTTCCTGGTAGAGCAGCCAACCTTTGTCTGCCTTTGGTTTCGGGTTTCTAAACCCTAAACCTTTAAACCCCTAAACCCTGAACCCCTAAACCCTAAACCCTGAACCCTAAACCCCACCCTAAGCATCAGAAGACCGACTCGGCCGTCTTGGGGGGCTCCTGGGTTGAGGAGTCGTACATGAATGATTCATTGTTTCGCCCCTTATCATTATCGTTCATGTGGGTGCTTTGTCTGTGGGTGATTTTGGGTAGATGTTTGGTTTGTACAACTTCGTCATGGCTTTTTTCACTCTCACACGCACACAGACACAGATGAACTATGAGTGATAAAGAGGCAGAGAGTCAGGGAGGGCGAGAGAGAGAGTTAGGCAGAGATGCAGAGACTCTCTCTCTCCTCGCCTCTCGCGTGTCTCTGTTCCCCGTTGGTTGGTGTGTTCCTTAGGTGTTTAGCTGGCTTGTTGGTTTGTTAATTAGCTAGCCACCCAGCAAGCTAGCCAAGTACGCGAGCAACTAAATCAGCAAGCAAGCGAGTTTGTATGTAAGTAAGCAAGTATGCAAGGATGCATGCGTGTGACGTTACACACATAGTCATACATAGCTTGTACTGATGCACAAATACATGATGTGCACATGTTGTAGACTTCACCGGTTCCTGTTGGGGATTATACCACTTGGCCAACTAAGGAAGAAACTGATTCTGGAGCGGCGGCTCAACCATTTCCTCCGCTGGCTGCAGGAGGAGGCATGGAATTCCATGTTACATATCTATGTTCTGTGTATACAACAGTGCAAGCCAATGATATTCATGTTTGCAGTTTATTAGCATGGTGACGATCATGATCATGATCATTATTGTCATTGATAGTTGTATCGTCGTGGTAGTAGCAAGAGTAGTAGAGCAGCATCGGTTTCAGGTCCTTTTTGCATATATATATATATATGTTTTTTTCCCCCAAAACCCTGTCCCATGCATCCCGGCCGCTCGGCCCTACAGTACCTTCGCCAGAAAAGCACCCAAACCCATCCTTCAGGGTATCGTGGGTGTACGCTTTGGGGTCTTGGTTTGGGTGCAAACCGGCTTTTTGCGGTTTTTAGGATCCATGAGGTGTAGGATGTAGGCTGGGAGCAGCCCTGCAAGGCCCGCGTGAAGCACTACGAGTACGTCCGGGAGATGGCGGTATCCAAGGCACCGACACCCCAGAGGGCAATCCTAGAACGGATTCCCTACATTTAGCGTTTTAGGGGCTGTAGGGTTTAGGGTTTGTAACCATCACAGCCGACTTCTTCGTAGGTTCTCATTATGAGCCCTGGTATGGAATGAAAAGGACCGTAGAAACACAACGGCTTAGTTGGGCTAAGGCTACGGTATACCCTCAATCCATCCCTCAAGCTCCAATGTGCCCGTGAAGTCCTGAAGCTCCAAGACCCCCACCCCAAAAAAGCCCAACACACTTAATCTAAAGCTTTCCAGGATACTCTTGTAGAACCTCTATAGTACCTCTATAGAGCCTTTATACTACCCCTCTAGAGCCCTAAAGCTTCTCAGGAGCGAGTTCTCAAACAGCAGTCCTTGGTCCTGCCGCTTTGCCTTTGCGATTGATCGTGTGTCAAAGTTTAGAATAAAGGTGTTGGGGTTTGGGGGTTTAGGGATCGGGGTGTTTTCTTTCTACATGGTTCAGGGTCGAAGGTTTTTAGGTTGGGGTTTGTTACGGTCTAGGCATAGTTTGGGTTTGGGTTCCGCCTGCTTCCGGTGGTGACGATGGCAAGAGTAGCAGGCGTCGGTGTTGGCTACCGCCGAGGTGATCACGGATGTCGCGGTTTATGTAGTCAATGTAGTCGCAGTCGGCCAGATGTCGTCGTAGCTGCAGCAGCGGCCACTGCAGTAGAGGAGGAGGAGGAAGAAGAAGAAGAGGACCAGGAGGCGGATGAGGAGGAGAAGCAGAGTGTGACACAGAACTAACAACACTACATTCATCATCATCATCATCATCACCATCATCATCACCATCATCATCATCTTCATCTTCATCTTCATCATCACCATCATCATCATCGTCGTCACCGTGACTATCACCATCACGAGCAGCATCAATACAGTTGCGATTCGGCCATCCGCCATCCGGGCGAAACTCAGCTGGCGGCCAAGGACGGACTACCTTCAGACGTTGGACGTCCAGCAGCTCGGGCTGAAATGGTTTGTTGAATTGGTACATTTTGGGTGCAGCATGGCAAAAGAGTGTCGCATGAAACAAGATACATTGAAACAACCTGTGCCCGCCCTTTTGATTTACCCCAGCACAAAGTCTTCGAGCCCAAAAATTCTCGACGAGCATGGTCACCATTCTCAGGATCGAGAAGCTGACAGCAGAAATCAACCTCTTGGACAAAAAGAATTTGTCCATGAGAGCTCATGTTTCACCACTCCTGTAGGTGGGCCGCAGAGCCCAGCTCAATTCGAGTTGGCAGGGTGCAACGCTTCGTGCTGATAAGTACTTCTGTCTCCATGTCAAAGCAAGAGCAGCGGAGTTTTGGCTGTCGACCTGAACGCCATGATCTGCATTGTAGTAGCAATAATATAGAAGCCTGCATAACTGCCTCTAGATGAAAGTACCTTAACACATTAATCTGCACAGTACTCAGGTCTAATTACTAAGGCCCCCCTTTTTAGCCACACAGCTCGAAGAAGATGCCAAGAGGTGCATCGATCCTGGTGACAAGTTCTTGCAAGTATTTCACGAGTTGACGCAGAGGAAAATGGGCGGGAGGGCTCCCTCACCAAGGGCAGCTACGATCGAAAGTTTATTATGTCCTGTCTATTTGAGGGTCCCTTGTTTTCTTATTCTTATACTCCCGAATGCAGCATCAAGTTCAGGACAGGGCGCCTGCGCTGCAATAGGCCTGCACGGTTGGTTTTATGGCAATATCAGGTTGACTTCATCTGCGGTGATGAGTATAATAAGACTCAGGGTTTGGGAATTGGGGTTGAGGAGCTATTTGTGTTTGTAATGGTCGCGGCTTAGTGTTGACATTTCCTGTTGTTGCTCTCGCCCGACTGTTGATTTTGCAGACATCAACGAGGTCATCATCGTCTACATCTTCTCGATTGCCTTCACTCAGCTGGCGCAAGGGACCGTGCCGGGGCAGCATCTTTGCCTCCCTAGATCTACTTCCTAGGCCCAACGGTGGTTTGAAATCTGTTCTTGCATGTTCTGGACTAGACCCCAAACCCTGAAACCCCAAACCAACAGCAACAATGAGTGCAGAGGACCTGGTGTTCTGACTGATAAGTCTGTGGGTAGTTTTTTAGTTAGGGTCTCTTTTGGGGTCCTGTTTATAAGGGTGCCCTACTATACTGGGGACCATAACTACCCATGTATACCAACACCCATAAAGGAGCCTAATCCGGAACAACTCTCTGTGTGTGTGTGTCTGTGTGTCTGTGTGTGTCTCTGTGTGTGTGTGTGTGTGTGTTCGTTCCCCCCCTCTCTGTTCGGCCGCTGGCGTACCAACCCTATACCTAGACTCGCGAGAAAGTACTTGCTTTGTTCAATCCAAGCAAAGTGTAGTTTGAAGAAGTAGTTGAATTTAACCCAGAAATATGCTACTGTAGCTTGAACATTTGTTTAGAGGAAACCTGTTGTTGTGTTCAAGTTTCTGTATTGTGAAAAAGTACTTACAGGTAACCTAGAAACAAGCTACTGTAGCTTGAGAAAACATTTCGAGGTCTTCGTGTTTTTCAAGCTACTGCAGCTTGTAAAGGGAATGAAAGGCAACCTAGGGACAGGCTAATTTGGTTAAAGGTAACCTCCTGCTGTGTTCAAGCAACTGAAACTACTGTGGTACTTGAAGGTAGCCTCCTGCCTTGTTCAAGCTACTGTACTCTGAAAAAACATTATATATATATATAACGGTAGCATAGATCTAAGCCCCTTAAACCCTAAACCCTAGAAGCCCTAAAGCCCTAAGCCCTTGAGCTACTTACAAAAACAGACAAGCCTAGATCTGAGGGTCTCAGTAGCTCCGGAAGATTGGCATGCAGTTAGCTTCCACATCCCAGGAAATCTTAATTGTCTTTAGGGTTTAGGGTTGAGGACCCTAACTAAAGCCCTCTAAGCCTTTTACCCTTCTTCGTGAGTTGTGGTGGACTGTGGACTGTGTAGTTCGAGGAGAGCCTTCGTTGTGCACCCGCTGGATCACCGAGGTGATGGGCTCTGTCTACTTTCCGACCGCTTGGGTGCCTACTGATGTGGAAGTTCCAGAATAGATTATAACTCAACGTCGAACCCTTCATAACGAGATCCCGCAGATGAAAACCCCTAACCCGCAAGGAGCCCCGATAACCTAACAGTATGAAGAAGACTCAATTAGGGTTTAGGGTTCAGGGTTTAGGGTTTAGGGTTCAGGGCTCACGGTAACAGCATTTCCGCTTCCAGTGTACATGTTGCTCATCCGATGGCCCTTGCTCGAAGCCACGTCTCTTGCAGAACTGCACCCCCTTAGCACTAAACTCCTGTAGCCTGAAGCCTTCGCCGCAACACCCAAGCCCCTTGAGTCTTCTGATTTGGAAGTTGAAGGTGAAAATTGGGTTTCTGGGACTCTGGGATAGTTTTTTGTTGGCATACAACATCAGGTCTTCATCAAGAGACGGTGAGGTTGTAATCCGGGACCTCACCTCCAGTGGATGCGACTTTCCGAAGCTTTCGTCAACTACACTAAACCCTAAACTCCTAAACCCCTAAACCCTAAACCCTAAACCCGAAGTCGGAAGCTCCCATGCCAACTAACCCAAACCCGAAACCCTAAACATTGTGGAGGCCGTTTTACAAAACCTGCTCCTTCCCACTCATGCTGTTCCCTTGTTTTGATTTGCGGTTTCAGGCTCCAGAGATTTGATTCGAGCGTGTCAGATTACAGCCCGAAGTCCTCAGCAGTAGTGCAGTACTAAAGTCGCGTACACCGCAGGCCCTTCAAGTAGGCGTCAGTCAGACATGGGTTCGTGGCGGTTTTCAGATCAGCAATAAGGCGAGACAGCTGGCTTCATCTCGAAGAACACGTAACACAATGTGTTATATAGCAACTACACAGATATGATAGCAAACTAGTAACGATGGTCGGTCTCACCCCCTGAGTCACACTTGTCTGCACGGCTGTCTTGCAGGAGCCAAGTTCGACACATACTCGACAACTTCATATTCTCGAGATGCCCCTAAACCCTAAACCCTAAACCACTTTTCCTGTAAACAATCCCCGAACCCCAACATGAATCAGCTCGTGCTCACGAGGTCCAGCATGCTATGTACTCGCTGTTGATTTACGGAACGTTCCTCGACGACATCGCGCCGTTTTGCGACGCCGTAGGTACGTCTGGACCATCCCTTCCTCGGCCAAGAAAATTAAGCTTTAGGGGTTTGGGTACCGGGCGAAGCCTAGGCCTATAGGCTGTGGCATGCCAGCAAGCCGTTGAGGCTTTAGGGTTGTCCTCCGCCTGCAAGCAAGCCGTTCGAGCCGCAATTCCAAGCTGCTGCTCCGAATCTCGAAGCACGGATAGGAGCAGAGTCGATCGCCTGTTTGACTCTGGTCTTCATCTTTTCCATCTTGTCTGCAGCGGCCTCAGCCGGTGATTATCACGACACTGGGATACATAACAGTCATGCAGACGGGGATGCCTACCGTACTTCGCTGTGAACGTGCCTAATTATTCGACTTGAACATATTCCGGGCCGGATCAGCTTCCCGATAGCTCGCCCAGATGTATCTGAGGAAGCATGTACAGTACAGTGGTTCTTGTGACTGTCCTCGTTCATGTACCCATGGCTAGCTAGACATATGTGACATCATAGCATGTTATGCAGCAGGGGGCTGGCAGCGTATTCCGTGATGCCAGCCAACGAAGCTAGCGGAATAGGTGGAAGGAGCTATGGACGCATGTTTCTGTACCTGCCGAAGTTACACGTACTGAAGAGATTTATGCTTGCATCAATATATGGCCTTGAGGTTCTTACGAATATTAAAAGAATTTTGATCACAAGCTCCCAACTAGTAAATGTTCAGTTTATATGCAAGATGAGCAAAGAGATGAGAAGGATGGACTGCAGAAGATTGACGACAACCGGCATTGACCGGGATCTACATGTGTGTGTGTGTATATGTTTTGCAAGTTATGTATATATACACACATATGAGTCTGATGAGTCTGTCTGTCTGTCTGTCTGCCTGTCTGTCCGTCTGTCTGCCTGCCTGCCTGCCTGCCTGTCTGTCTGTCTGTCCGCCGGTTTGTGTGTCTGTCTGTCTGTTTGTCTGTATGTATGTATGCATGCCTGCATGTATATATGTATATCTTGAATAGCAAAATAGACAGATACTATATATATATATACACACACACACACACACTCCATTACACAGATGAGTATCAACGCACTGCAAGCTAGGCAAATTGTTGGATGACAAAAAGGTATAGCCGGAGTTCAGTCTTATGTAGGGTCAAAAAATCAAATGTTTGCACATACACAGATGTAGAACTATGCAACACGAACGTAAGTACACACAGACAAAGGCAAGTATTTATGTATTTGTTAACGGCTTATGTATACCTGCATGAATTGTGCTTTTAAGTGCTACAGTGGTTACTGGTTCAAGTGGTCAAGCTATATGTACCGAAGATGTTTCACATCACTACATTATACTCATAATTACGCCTTTCGGTGCCTTTATTTGGGACACTGCACGTGAGGCATGCACCGTTTTGAACCTGCTCATTGGCGTCCTTTGCGAGGAGCCGTCTCTCTCGCTAGTTGCAGTGCAGCTCAGAGACGTTTGCAATCAGGGCTTGCTGCAGGGTTTATAGGCTCAACAAACTACGTGTTTCTCCGGATGCTTCTAATTCTCTCCCTTGACCACAAGGAATCCGTGTCTGAGGTGGGTTTGTTAAAACAAGGATCCTGCTCTGTAGGGTCTGTAAGGGGGTCCCCTACACCCTGGAATTCAACACCTCAAAGTCTAAACCCAGTTTCTGCACTTACAAACTGTGACATGTCAATCCTAAGCCCTAAATCGTAGACCAAAGCCCTAAACCTAAACCCGAAAGCCCGAAACCCTAACCCGAAGGCCCGAAAGCCTTAAACCCTAAACCGAAAAGCCGAAAGCACGACAGCCCGAAGCCATAAGCGCAATCCCGGAGCGCAGGTTGTGTCACAAGTGGCGCAGAACGAGAAGGAAGACCTCATGGCTCTGGGCTCAAAAGGGCGTTGGGGTTTAGGGTTTTGGGGCCTAGGGTGTAGGGCTTCTAGGGATGTAGTAGGATTTGGGGCTTAGGGTCAGGGTGTAGGGCTTCTAGGGACTATAATAGTGTTTAGGGTTTAGTGTGGGGTTTCTACGGATGTTTTAGGAATTTAGGTGTCTTTAAGAGTGGTTCAGTGCGCGAAAAGAGA